AGTAGATGAACTGTGAAAGCATAATTAGTGACTAATTATCCTCGACTTAACTCTCTATGAATTTTCAGTCGGACATTCACCATCCAATTATAAATATACAACTATGCAAAAGTTTAATGAACAGTTAACATGCAAGTTAGACTGTGTGAATAAAACGAGAAAAGTGAACATTGATCCAAAAGTTTTAATTGTTTTCATGTTGAAGTAATTTTGTGTATTAATTCAAAACAATTCCATCTGAAGTACCCTTTTGTTCTCTGTTAAATTACGTGACAAAGCTTTCTCTACTTTCAGCCAAAAGTTGATATACATATATATATATAGTATTGTTCTACAAACCCAAAACGAGTGGCTACCTTGAGTAAAAGCGTTTGAATGCATATATTTTTATTGCAAAAACAGTTTATTGATACCAGTGTTCAATAGCCTGCGGTACATCCCATTGTAATTATGTTAACTGCTATTAGTTGCGTTTTGTTCTCCTGCCTTATTGACGTAAGAAAAGAATTTGGAGACTGTAAAATACTTTTATTCGACGATAAACAAACAGTGATATGGTATTATATACTGATGAAGTTTTGAGTGCAATTTGTTGCCTATAATCACATCAAAAAGTCATCAGTAAATAATACTTTATTACTTTATGCTTTGCTAATGGCTAAATATTTATTGTTAACTTGTCCCCATAATGATGCCAAGACTGAAACATTAGGTGCAACATTGACTTTCACACTGCTCAATTATTCTACAACAAACCAAAAGTCTATATTTTATGATATAAACAATGCATTACATACCTTTACTTGACATGAAATGCCTTTTAAACAAAAGAGAAAATCCGTCTTTCACCAGCAAAGATACCAACTTATAAAATCACCAACTGGTTTATGTCTGGAATGCAGTGTGAGATTACTGAACTCCTAACTAATGTTTCCGTTATCTCATCAAGTATTACTAAGTAAGTAATGTCACAAGGCCAAAGCCTTAATAATCATCCTCTAATCATCATATAGTAAAATGCTGAAGTGTGATACAGTTTGCTTCAAAACATACACACTATTTTGAATAATTCTTCTCCGGGGTGTGCAAAAGGTATTTAAGGCCACAAAAGTGAAACTATTCTGTGCACACATACATACACACATTCACACACACACATAGTACTAGACGATAAGCCTATGCATTGATAATTCTTTTTTACAGTTCCAGTAAAACAAACAATCCCATTGATGACAATCAATCTTCATTACTAATACTAAATGTAAATTATCTAAAATGAATTCAACTAATTATAAAGATATACCTGTTTTCTTCATATTTTATGATATTTTTTTCTAAACACATGTCTGTCTATCACTGATGAAGACATTGCGTCACTTAAAAGAAAAACGATTTTTATTCTTACTAATAATATTATCATTGTGCACACATTTTCATATCAATTTTGTTTAAATCAATAGTATAGAAATAAGTACTATTTCAAAAGAGTAAGGTGTTTCCTTTAAAATACTCTGAAGTTTGCTTTTTCTTCATTTAGAACAACACATTTAAGCGAACAATATTGTTTTCAATTAGATCTCATCAGGCTTAACTCTAATATATATAAATTTACAAATAAAATTCAAATATAAACCAATCATGGTGTTTTGTCTATAGGATAATACGATGGTGAATATAAATTGTGCAATTAGTCATAATAGTAGTAATGATAATAATAATAATAGTAATAATAAAAATTGTCTTATCAATAATAAGGATGAAAAAGTGAGGCAATCTGTGATAACACGAATAATGAAAAACAGCATGATTAAACAAACAACTGTTCAGGTGAAAGTAGTCGATAAAGGCTAGTAAAAACAAATGAACCGATTAAGTAATGTTAGATTGTAAGGGAAGGAAATGAAACACGTTTATAATGAAGATAAGATTAAGGGACGATAAGAAAGGGGATGAAAATATAAACAAAGGGTGGTGTAGAGGTCATTAGTTGGTTACGTCTTAGTAGGCCAAGAGAGGGATAAAGGCTGTACGAACTTCTTTTGAATACATAATTTAGGTTTAATAGTTCGAATGCCTATTGCCTCAGCTGTGTGTAGTAGACGAATACGAAGTCTATTGGAAAGATTCGGTGGGATACGATGAATCACTTTGAAGGCTCTCGTTTTCTCGATAACATGACCACTATCAATTAAGTGTAATAAAATTGAGCTACGGATTGTTTTTGTCTTTCCTTTGCCAAACCACGATGGGAGATGTTCACTAACACGTTGGCTAAGCTGTCTAGTAGTACGCCCATTTCATTAAAAGTTTTCATTATAGATTTTTATTTCCACAAGTGTAGTACTGAGATGCTGGTGCTAAGACTGACTATCAGTAAAAGTAGTAGTAATAATAATAATGTGAATGTAGAATTTATTGTGTTGCTGCACTTAATATACTTAACCAGGAGAATGTAATTACAGCCTGACAGTGTCAGTTGTGAATTCATTTAAAAATTTTTTATGGCTACAGAATATGACAGACGAGTAGAAATGCTCTTAAAGGGATATAGCTAGGAAGATTATCGATGATGAACGTATATTGCATGCTTTAGAATCGAATTTGAACAGCTAAAATATATCCAGAAAATAAGACTAGTAATGACAGACTGAATTCTTGCTTGAGTAAATAACGGTTGCTTCTGTGGTAATACTAAGTCCAGTCTTTTGTCCGTCTCGTGTAAATAAAACTGAATTTCTGCATTTTACGTAGACTGTTCTTCGTTTTATGTTGCCTTTCAACTGTTTTCACTACTCCATCCGTCTAACACTTATTTTTCTACAGAAGCCCTACAACCTAAATGCATACCGTCATTGCTTTTCTAGAAGATTTCCATGTGTGTACACAGTGTAAGTTACTATATGTCCGTATACCATTTACAGTATCACAAAACTTTTACGTAATGCTCATTAAACACATAAGGCTTAATAGCGTACAATAGTTCATCTTACAAATCAATTCCAACAGAAACACAAAATAAGAAGAACTAGAACGAAACAAAATAATTATAAGATGCATACTAATTCATATTATAACCAAATAAGAAGGCTAACAAATTCAAGAAAATAACAATTTAAATAAACAATAGGTATGTGTTTCCTTTCATTGTTATAATCAAGACCAAAAATCGATAAATTGAATTTATAATTCCAGTTATATTACAATATTCAGAATAAATTTCTTCATTTTGGTCAAATAGAATAACGCAAATCATCAGTTAACCCTTCATGGTTATTCACACAACAAGAGTAACAGAAAATAATAAAAACCTTTGATAAATGGATTTAACTAGTCACGCTAAGGTACTTTGTAAAAGGAAGTGAATGTTATTTGTACAAGTCTGGTTCTAACCTTTCCAAATTATCTCGAAATTATACTAAATGGAAAGAACCATAATGTGATACACATTATCTGCAAAGATAATGTGTATGCCAAAGATAAATAAATGTAACTTGAGGTTTTAAATATTTATAGATGTACTGCGTAACAGTTTTCAGAGCTAACACCAGAGTCACAGTATGCAATGCTATAAGGAACTAAATATGGAAAGTGTCATCAAATCTGTAGTAACCAATGTGCTGCCATGGCATAATCGAGATTTTAACTGTTCTTAAAGGATCACAACAAAGAACATTTCCATGCTATAAGTGATTGATAACCTTTTAGTCAAAACTTTTAGAGGTCCTCTTCCATAAATTTTACGACTTTCTGGGTAACAGTTAGTGAGAACTCTTCTATAGACACAAAGTTTTTACATAACTTCACAAGAATATGATGTGTTACTTTGATACTAATGGTTCCCACTGCCTTAACTGAACCTACCTCTAGATTATATTTATCCGTAAATTAATATTACACCGATATGCCGCACTCTACTTACTATATGTGGCTTTCTTTCAAATTCCTGGGTGCTATTAAATCTGAGCAGCCGAAAGCTATCCGATTCAACTTGTATTATATGCATTCAAACTGCTTTCAAAACTTAGAATGCTACTTCGCAATGTTCTTGGGACAACTTTTATCACCTAAAGACATTCAACAATGTTCAGATCCAGCTGTTTAAATAGGACTACAATCGTTTTCCAAGGAAAGTGGAATGTCTGATCCACATTCACTGAGTGTACAAAATTTCCTTACTGCGAATTTTGTAGATATTAAAAACTATTTCAAATGTTAAAATAGTCTTCCCTTGATTGGAACTCACACTGAATTTTCATAAAAGATAGCTGTGTATTGGTCACTGGCTTTTAGTGCATTCATAATTTATATTTATGAAACCAGTGAATTTTTGGTAGGACATTTAACTGTTTTCCACGCATAACCAGTTTTATACATGTACTGTTTTTCTTACTGTGTCAGTCTTTAAAGTAAGATATGAAAATTGTTCTCTACGAGTGTCAGCTATAATCTTCAAATAACGTTGCCTCAAATGTGATGCGTCAACATTCACCGAAAATAGTCTTTAACTAATCCATCAAAGGGATGAATAGTGGAATTTCAGTATGTGGTCAAAATTTATTCCGTGGCTGCAGAAACCAAAGATATTTTCGAGTGTGCTTTTAATCTAAGACACTACTTATTTTGAGAGCCTCCTTTTCTATTTCCTTTCCAATAAAATTCACTTTACTTTTTTGCAATAAATAAGTTATCTTATTTTAATGTTGCAAATTAGAACCTCACTCTAAACATTTGTTTTAGAATGAACTAATCCTTAGCAGAACATGACTTCAGAATACAAATTAATTCCGGGTTTCAAAACAAATCCAGCATTTTTGTGTCCTCATCTCACAATACTCGATTGCAAGGAGCTAATACCATTCCATCGCAAGGCTGTAGGCAACGCCATTATGTGACAATGCCCTTTGATTAAAAACATCGATCAGAATTAAAACACGGAATAAAAAGTTTTAAAAACCACAGACAGCTAATAATAATTATAAGACTTTTATCTGAAAACTTACTGATAATGAAACTGACATACAAGTATCATCTAATAGGTGAACGCAGCACGAAATATCAGTTATGCATGTGTTACTGCCGAATAGTCTCCCTTTGTTTGAACCCAAAAAATTCTTGATGACTGACTTTTTTCTAATGTTTTTATCATCTTCAGCTCTCGATGAGGGGCTGACTTTCCGAGACAGCGACATTTCAATGGAAAGACTACAACAGTCTTTTAAATCCGTACCTTGTTCCAGATGCGAAACTGACCTTGAGAATGAGGCATAAAAAGAAATTGAGCAGCCCATTGAGTATATAATAAATAAGACAAAAAATAGCTACAACTGGAAGCACGTTAAACGTCTTATGATATTTTTTATGGAATTTACGATATTTTACATACTTCTGATGGCCAGCTACTGGCTTTAAAACGATTCTTTATAAGTATTATTTTGGTAACAAATGCATTGGTGATTTCGAATAATTTACCCCAAGTTTGTACATATATCACAAATTTTGGTAAATTCTTCATGTTGTAATATACATCGGAGTTTTAAGCAGCTTCAAGCTCGAAAAGAATGGATGTCACAAGGAACGATTAGTCGTCACATCCCTATTTGAATGTTGTGGTATCAGCCTGTTCTTCGGACCTATTTAATATACTGTTGAGATTTATTTGTAGTTTAAACATGTAGGCGTCATCCTTAACCAATCCTAAAATGTTTGGAACATTAGGGTAGAGAATCCTAGGGGATTTGATGGGCCCATGTAATTCTTCGGTAATATAGGCTAGATAAATAATGGTATCTTGTGGTACACCAATATGTACTTTTATCCATGAAAAGATTTTCGAGGTGATCCTAATCCTCTGCCTCGAACCTGAGTGGAATTATTTTATTCAGGCCACTCTTGATTCCAAAACCTCCCTGTTTCACGAGTTATTTTATGATGCACTTTTCTGGAAGTTCTGCTGATATCTTTGAAAACAGCATCGATCGGACTCTTCTTATCCCTATAGTAAACCTAGATTTCGCTTGCTGGTAGTACGCTTGTGGAAAACGAGCAGCTTCTGTTTACTGGACAGCAAGCTGATCTTCCGAAAAAGTCCATGACAGCTCTCCTGACTATTCTTCCCAGCATATTAAACAAGGTGATGGTAAAACTAATAGACAGTGTCGAGGCCCTTTCTCACGAATGAGGGGTTACCACTGCATCCTTTAAGTTACACACTGACACTCTATGTGAGGTGGAAAGCCCAAATATAGTAGTCGGTGGTCTGGCTACGTTGCAGCCAGCTCCTTGAGAAGCCCCGGTTAAAGTGCATCGAGTCCCACAGATTTCCTTTTGTCTTGCTTATTTGTGGATTGAAATACGATTTTTTGGTCGATGCAGACACAAACTATACCGCTTTCACGTAAAGCAGCCAGATATAGTGCTATGAGTAGTGCTGACTCCTCTATGGAAAAGTTGTCTGCTATCGATCTAGCTTTTTGCTGGTTCTTACCGAAATTGTTTGTGTCAGCAGTGGGTTGCGGACTCCATGGGATATTTAATTCCTTAAGTGTGTGTACAAAAAGTCTCCTGGGTTGTCCAAAACGTGACTAGACCCTACAAACACCATATACATTTAGTGTTCTTTCCAGGGAAAAGCGTTTAAGGCAACTGTTAAATCTCAAATACTTACTTGGTTGTGGCATTTCGACGGTGTATTCATTTTTCATAAAATTTATCTATTTGTACTCATCTGTTTGAAGATCTTCAAACGTAGAATTCCTCCGTTGGATTGACTCAAGAGATTATGAATGCAATGATCTCAAGTATTTATAGCACAAAAATAAGCTCATTTTTAACTACATCGGTGAACTGACATATGGCCATTCTGTCTCCCGAAAAAAATGGAGGAAAAGGCCCCATAATGTCGTCCTTGATTCATGTTGCAAAACATTCTGGTCACCCTACGGAAATGGAGAGAAACTCCTGAACACTAATTTATGAAACTGGAGCCTGTAAACCTACAAGCATCATATCAGCCGTGACTAGGGTTATGGAGATCACTGGCAAAGATACTTTTGACTTTATTCACTCTATTAATTTGTTTGCTATTCTTCATGAAGCGCTGACTATCCCCTATGTGCGTACTTGATCACTCTGGTGACACCACTAACACTCTTGACCGAGATCACCCTGTCACCAAACCCCGTCGTGATTTCTATCGTCTACAGAATGTTAGTACCTAGCCTGAAATCATGCGTCTACTAAGATCATATTTTTACTGTCTTTGCAGGGCCTCCACAAGAAAGCATTTTATGACCACTCAGATCTAGCTGGTGATTAGGGGATTCAGAAAAATGGATATGATAAACAAGTAGGAACGGTATATTCTTCATGATCTTTAAGGCTTTCTTTATCTACTGAGAAAGGACTGTTATCTTGAGAAGGGTATTAAAGGTTGTCAGTAGCCAAGTCAGCTTGTTACTACACTAATTGATAGACATCCGAAGTCATGGGATAAATGGGTTAAATCCATACTGTCTGACTCTCAACACCCCCTCCATTCTCGAATCTCCCTTTACATTTCCTCAGGTGTAACTAGAATTCAGTAAGAAAGATTGTCTGCCCGCACTACTAAGTATGGAAGCTCAGCGATACCATATTTCGTCCGTGTTCCATGAGATAGAGATAATGTAAGGCGAGAAACCTATGAATTACCACTTTTTAGCAAAATATTTCATCCATTCATTATCTCCTATTTGTGATCTATGGTGAAACTATCTCAGTTATCTGCTTACACACGCTTAGCTGCAATAGTGTAAGTTCGAACCAACATAGATTCCTAAAATACCGACCATGTTTAACCTACCACCTAGATTTCTTTACTTTTGTGACTAGTAACCGTGACAGATGACAACTAGCACTCGTCATCTAATCTGGCATTTCCACGGCACTTGATCGCGTCGACTATTTGCTGCTGATATATATGTTGAGTTCCCTAAGAATACATGGCCCACTATTGGGATGGCTTAAATCATTCCTTAACAACAGGTTCCAAGTACGTGGAACTGTGTCTGTGACTTCCAAATAAAGTTTGATCACTTCTGATGTGGTTCAAGGTAGCTTCATATGCCCTCTACCATTCACACTACATGTCAGTCACATATGCATGCTACATGGTAAACCGTTCATTTATTTTAGATGACCTTAGAATAACTTATGCATTCCGTTGTGGCGACCTAGGAAACTTTCAGATTGTGGCCCGGAAAGAACTAGATAAATTCAATGCATGGTCATCTTTATTGGATCTACAATTCAATCTGAACAAATGTAGCCGGATCTCCTTCGGTGAATCCTCAATAGACACAAACGTAACGCTTTAATCTGTTAATTTACCAAGACTTAGGCCTGAGGTGCTCCAGTGACCAACCATTTTCTGAGCAAGTGGCCCAAAAGTCGAGGATACTCCTAAGATGCATGCTCAAGAACATTCATGACAACCAAGCCAAACTCATACTACACAAAACATGTGTAAGTACTATCAGCATACTGTCCATTTCTTATTAGCAACACTCGCATATGTGACAAGCTGATAATGGAAGGACGTTTCAGGTTCAAACAACGTGGATATGACTGTAAGAAAGACTACATTTCATGGCGTATGACTTCAAATTCTGACATCCTTTGGACCAGACGACTTGTTGTAAATTCTTCTTGAAGTTCCTACACAAAATATCATTCTCAGACAGTAAAGAAATACAGTTCTCACCGGAAGCATATTACAAACTGCGTAACCAAACACGCACAGTGACAATAAAAGCCTTTAAATAATCACTCCTTGAAAACTTCACAGAGATGTATCCTAAAATATGGATGAATGTACAAATAGAATTAGGCCCATGAAATTCAAAGGGAATTTCGTCCATGTAGTGGTAGTGATGTACTATGTTATATTTAGCTTTCTGTCTTACGTTTAAACTTTTACTACCACAGACTCATTCAGTTCTTCAGAAATACCAGCTCACTCTGTATTAGTCAACCGTCACAAGTCGTTCAAGCATAATTTCCTACGCAGTCTAACAGGATTACACTGCTCCACAAAATCAACGGCTCATGTGGAAATAATGCCCAGTTTACAAGAGTACAAAACATTAGACCTAAATAACGAGCATCTCGTTAACACTCCATACACCTTCGGGAACACATTCATGAGACGTCTAGGTAATTTTTTATATTAGGCAGTTGACTGGATATTACGGAACATAAACTTAATTAAGCATTTCTATTACATAAATTAACAGGCCGAATGTCCCTAGAACACAGGAAGTTTTCATATTTACAGCTTTATATAAACAAGGGTGCAGTTTGCTACGTAACATCTCATGTGTTTCGCTTCATACACTGTATCAGTTTAATGTAAAACTCACTTGGGAACCTGATAATCTCTTTCCTGGTTTACTAAATCAGTGTTGGTTTCTTACCATTAAAATGATGCATCCAATCATGCATATGTAGGAATATACCAGTTGTACAGCCGTGCATGAGCTAGTATTTGAATTACATAAATCTGGTTTACATTGAATTTGCATGGTTGCTGTACTTTTTGGCCCAAATTAGTGTGGACGATTTGCTAACCAGACACTTAATATAACACATTGAGAAATGTAAACATATACTCACTAACACATATATTAAATATAAAACGACCTCGTTCGCACTTCTCTCCAGTAAAGCAAATACCGGACACAAAACAAACTGGTTTCACAATACACTCAGAATAAACAAAACATTTATTGAAAGTAACAAATTATATTTCGTATAAACGGGTAAGTTTACAAGAAACATATGCCAATTTTACAGGCACAATCAGACACAGTATAAATCACGATCGTGAAATGTCACAAATCGGCACTTTTCCAAAAGTTTAAATAATTAAATTACAGTGCAAGCAACCAGACCTGTTCGCATAAGTGTTAAATTGTAAACCCTTTACGAAGGTCACCATCAAGGTTGAGCTCCAATCCAAACGTCTTTTCGATTGCTGCAGATATGTAACTACATATAAACCAATGTTGACAGGGTATTCAACACTGTTTACTTTCTTTACTTTGAAAACAACCCAAGGGTTCCTTCTGTGGAGCAAAAGGCACAACTTCTATCAAGACTGGATGCCAGGGATAACAAAAAGACTTTGTTTGTGATGGCCTGGCCTGCATACCCTGATTTTTGCCATTGTACAAAATACACGCCCTTAATGAGCTCACATCCTGGTTTCCTTCCCTGCT